GTTTTGTTTTCAGCGTTGACAGAACCCCAACACTGCCAAGTTGTGTCCTTGACCAACAGTGAGAAACTTCAACATTACAAGTAACCAGGAGTGATTGGCCATCAGAGCTTTTATAAAACGAGCTGTAGTTCCTGTGCACTACACTACCAGCAATCATACTGAATGAAAAAAATCATTAAGAGTGCACAAAGGAAGTAAACCACATCCTTTTTCCAAAGAGATTCCTTTACTTTTATCTATGTGTAGTGTTTACAACGAGACTGTCCTGAATTCTTTTGGAAGCATATGTCTGTGGCTGTAGAAGACTTGACTGTTGATAGAGAACACTTGGGATGTCTTACAAAATTTGAGGCAGTCTTCCAGAACTGCTTTTTAAATGATTACCCAAAATGTCTGGGTACGTGACTCTAGAGTCTCGACTCAGTGCCAGCTTGGGCATCTGGGTTCTTAAAGGCCAGCCCGATGTTGTTTTCATGCACATACGCAGTAGAACGAGTGTTCGGAGTTTGTCTAGTGAACGCTCTGATGAGTTTAGAGCGGTACTGATCCCCTGCCAGAAAGTAGAGGATGGGGTCCAAACAGCTGTTCATGCTAGCAAGTGGACGAGTGATTTTATAAGCAAAGTTGACAATATTAAGGGACCTGCAATCTGCGTCTAGAATACGGTAGCCGTAGTAGAGCGAACGGGTGATGTGGAAGGGTACAAAGCAAATCGCAAACACAACCAGCACCACTATGATAAGTTTAATGGACTTCTTCCGGGATGAACTCTGTTGACTTTGGAACAGGCCCTTTCGGGGTTGACAAAGGGCCCGTGCCATTAAACAGTAGCAAACCATGATGACCAGAAATGGCAGGATAAACAGCAGGACCATCACCACGGAGTTGTAGGTAACGTAGTTGTGAAATTCATCCGGGCGGCTGGTGTCATGACACAAAGTATCATTTCCTCTCTGAGAAGTGTTGACGAAACTCAGCTTGGGCACCAGGCAGGCTATCACAGCTATCCAGACAAAACTACACACCATGTGGGCATGGCGTGGCTTCACCAAAGTCAGAGTACGAATGGGGTGACAGATTCCAAGGTAGCGGTGCACACTGATGCAAGTGAGAAACAGGATGCTGCAGTACAAGTTGGCATAGAAAAGAAATCGCACAATCTTACAGAGAAAAACACCAAAAGGCCAGTGGCTGCGGTTTGCATAGTAGTATATAAGCATAGGCAAGGAGAGCACGTAGAGTGTGTCTGACAGGGCCAGGTGGAACATATAAATTGTACTGGGTTTCCAGGGCCTCATCTTAGTGATGAACATCCACAGAGCCACAGAGTTAAGTATCAGTCCTAGAAAACACACCAGGGAGTATGATACAGGTAGCAGAATATACTTGAACTCCTCATTGAAGAGACAGCTGAAATTCACTTCCTTCTCAGACCTCGGTATCAAAGTAGTGGGAGGAAGGGAAAAATTCCCTGAGACACTTTTTCTTAAGAGTGAATTCATTTCTCTGTTAAAATAACAACAAAAATGCTTTTAGCAATTTTAGAAACAATGAGTTATAAGTAAACACAGGATAAATTCGATTTCAGTGTAAAACATTATGTCACAAGCTATAAAATCAACATGAACTACAGGCTGAAAGTGTCTACAAAGAATAGACTCTTAAGTGTGCTTAAAAGTCAGATTTTTTTTTTTAATCATCTCGTAGGGTTTAGGTCTAAAAAAGTATTCAAACTCCATATCCAAACACGAAAACTTATTCTCATAACTTGTGAGTTTCCGAAATAATCTCATACGAAACTATCTCCCGTTTGAGAACTATGCTGTTTTAAAATAAATCGCAAAACAAAAAGAAAGTTTTGTTTTTTTTTGCACACAACCGTGCACATTTAGGGTGCACGAGATGTAAGAGGAGCACGCGGAGTTATTTTCACGTGCTAAAACTTACCGTTCACTCAGTTGAACGAAGTAAACACGTCCCTCCACAGATCAAAACATGAGCTTAGATGGTTGACGCTAATGGTTCAAAAACCATTCAACTTGTTTAAGAGATTCACGCTTCCAGATTTACCGGACTGGGCGCCCTCGAGCTGAGCGCGTGAGCTGAGGGGCGGGGGGGGAATCAGAGCCAAACCGAGTTTCTCTCTTCAGCTCCTCGAGACAATTCACCAATATTTAGTGAGGTATTGGTCAATATCTAATTTTTCTTAAATACCACGAGAAACTGGTTAGGTAGTAAAAGTCAAAGTCAGTTAGGCTATATTCAATTTTGATATTTAAAGGGGAACTCTTCTATTTTTCCTATTTCTGAGTGTACTCATCTCAGTATCATATCACACGCTTATCAGTTTCTGCCATCTTTGCCCATCACACAGACAGTAATTTACAGCAGAAGCTCATCTCACATGCCCTTTAAACATTATATTTTGGTTCTCGTAAATGATACTGCCCAGTTTTTATGATAAAATCCTTGAAGGTAAATTATACGACACTTTAACCCCATCGCACAAATGGTGCTGCTTTCTTTCCGTTTTATGTAAGATACTGGCAACTCCAGGCAAGCTCCTTCAATGTAATTTCACTTCCAGTAAGCACCATGTGACTGTGTGGGCTACATACCATATGGAACTGTATACATCCCACAATAATGTTTCCGAAGAAGTTACAGGTTTTCCATATACAGTAACAGAGGTAATAAAGAAATATAGGTGTTTCCCAGGAGTTATAGGGGAGCTTATGCTTATTTGTTTGGAGTAAAGTTAATCTTTAGTAAAAACACAGTCCCATCCCATTTGACCAATGAGAGGTTAGCCTAGTACAGGTCTGCCTTCGAGAGAGGAGACCTTAAACGGATGCTCATGTGCTGGAACTGATTTTTTAGCAACTCAGAAATAATCGCACACGTTTATATCAGACCACTCAGATGTGCTGTTAGGTAAATAATATGAACAGTGTTTGGTCATGGCAGTCAATGTGGAAGAGCGAGTATCTTGAAAGCTAAATGAACAGGGCAAAAGATTTAAAGGTCAAGAAAGACCTTTATCTCAGTTGGAGTGTCATAATAGGTTGCATGACTGCTATGCCTCTCTGAGTTAAAGTTCACATTGAATATTTGCACAGTTGTTTTATGATGTTGGCTGCAGTAATAAACTACATAGTTTGATATCTGTAATATAGTTTTCAAATTCATTTGACTTATAGTATTAGTATTATACATCACTGACATCTAGGATGTTATAAAAACATTAAATTACAATTTAAGTCATGTGTCATGAAATAATAATTAAAAAAAAAACAATTATAAGCTGTGTACAAGCTGGGGAGATTAGTTTGCATTGTTGGTATGGTGAGACCCACTTCCTTTGCAGTGCTGACCTGATAGTTAGTCCAAAAAGGAGTTATGGGAAATTGCATAAATTGTACAGGAATGCAAGTGGGTCAGTGACTCAGTATTGTGATGTGAACTGTAGGTCACCAGGAATACAGCTAGTTCAGTTTCACTCTTCATCTCTGGCCTGCATAATAATCTAATGACTGACAGGTGAAGTCAAGCAGGCCGGTGCAGAATATTCACCTACTCTCCACCCATTTTCGTTTGTGTCACGAAAAAGTAGATAAATAGAAAGAATCAAGATTAGCCACAAACTACTGGAGTGATAAAACGGGGAGAGCAGAAAGGAAGATTATTTGTGATAAGCTGCTATCATTCAAATGATGTAATAGCCAGACTCACTGAGATGCTTTCTTCAGCGGAGAGCACACAAGGATGTGAATTCATATTGAACTTTCTCCAATTCTCCGATTCATATTTTCATTCATATGTCTGTCTGTCTAGACTCTAGATCAATGAATAATCTATCTATATCTATCTATCTATCTTATGTATGACATGTCTCTGGACATCATTAGGACATGTTGATGTCATTACAAACACTCCATATTCATTGTTTTTGATATGTCTGACAGTCAACTCTATCCCAGAGCAAACATAGTCCTCAAAGATCCTGTTTCTATACAAACAACCTTCTGTACCATATTTGTTCAAGTTTAAAGATAATCAAATATTGACACTGAATAGTATAGATTTAAAATATAAAAATCACCCTTTAATCAATTTTTTTTTCTGTGACTTTATAAAACCATCACCATAATCCAAAGTGAATATTGAATAATTTATCAAATTACAGATATAATTGCAAGAATAAAGACTTTAGGACTGCGGAGGTGGGAGAATTCAATTAACATCAAGGTAACATCATAAATTAAAGCACAGCTAGTTGGCCTTCAAAGTTTTATATTAATAAAATCAAATAGAATTACATTTTACAATGTGTATTAAATCCCTGTGAAATATCAGATAACACCTTTAATGTTCAGGGAAAATGTGAACTGTGCTTATTCTGTTAAGACTGGAAATCATTATGTTGGTTCAATTAAGTATTAAAAATCCATGAGCTTATCTTTTAAGTAAAGGGGAAAACAGCATCACTGCAATTAAATCCCTGGGGTAAATAGTAAAATATATATTCCTCTTTAAAAAAGGACCAGCTGACTCCTTTAGCAAACAGTTGGTTTATGCACTTTTAAAAGAGTAATTTATAGCAAGGGGTCTCCTAGGAATACAGTAACTAGGCTAAAAACAGGGATATAGGCAAGCTGCTAGGCAAGATTCAGTCACCAGACAAGGTACTGAACCAGAACATTTCACAGCTAATGCTCAGATAAGACAAGGTTGACTTGTGCTATTATATACATCGTATCTACGTACGAGTATCAAGACGGTCAGTGCTAAAGTAAACAATTGAAGAGTCTGTGTTTTAGTGATAGCTATGATTTGTTTGGATTGTTAGAAGCAGGTGTTGAACTGTAGTTTATTCCATGCTGTATGTTTAGGACCACAGGGACAGAATGAACACATTGTGTGATGAACTTTATTAATGAATGAACTTCAGAAATTACAAAGAAGAGTAAAAAAATATTTATTAAGAATACAAATATTGAACTTGTCATATTGTCTCCTGATAGTCTCGGTTTCTTTTCAGTTCAGTCCCAGATCTTGGGAAGGTTCTCCAAGATTCTCCGTCGATGAGACGGGTTAGACACACCTGCTGCACACAGCTCCTCCTCTGTAATACCACTGCATGAGAAGAGAACACACAATGACATTTGGCAGCGTGTACTGTATATATATGTTCACAAAGCACTGTTGCTGCTTAAAATCATTAACTGATGCAAATGCTTGTGAGAACAGAAGACATTTTTCGACTACATCACATTCATACCTACCTGAAGTAATCAAGATCATCCCAGCCGTTACGGCTGAGGTCCAGCGTGTAGCGCTGCAAACCCAATGTGCTGAGCAGCTCCCGCACTGTTTCTGGGGCTCCATGTAAGACTGACACCTGTAGACACACGTTGCCTTTGTAAATATTAAAGCTAAACCCCAAAGCTAATCCTAAAGTCCATATTTACACAGTGCAATAAACAACATAATCCATAACAGAAAACTACTCAACTCACCTCTTTCTCCCAGCTGTAGTTTCTCTCACTAGCTAAACCATAATCATATCCATGATGCCTTTGCTGAGACGATATTTGATTATATTGGTACTTCCTGTCTACTGGCTGAAAATCCACCTCACTTAGTGATTTAGCAATTTGGAGGGCTGTAAGTGAGTTGTCTCCTGAAGCTGTAGTTGGCTGCTCTACTATCCAGGGTATTGAGGATTCATGAATGGGAACCCTTGTGGAAATATATGGGTACAGCTTTGGTCCATTTCGCATTGGCATGGGCCGACCTTGGTGTAGCCTGTGATAGTCCTTTCTGACTTTTTCTTTGAGTGGCGCCTGTATGTCCCGGGAAAAAACAGAACTGTTCATGTAGGAGTTTGTGACTTTTTTGACTGATAATACTGAATCCTGTGTCATATTGTTCTTATAGGATTGTAACTGTAAAGATGTATTGGAGGAGGTGGTGTGTCTTTGGTTTGGGGATGTATTAGGAACATCTGGACCTGGGAAAAGCTGATAAGAGGATGCAGTTGACGTCAGTTCACTTTGAGTCTCGCAAGATGATTTATAGGGTGTTAAAGATCCAGGAATCTCAATCTCTGTGAAATCGGACCTCCGAGCAGACCTTTTGCCATGGCTGTGACCTCCAGTCACTCTAGGGAGCTGTATCACAGCATCTTTGGCCCATTCTACTTGGGATTCTTTGCTGGATGAGGGAATCTCTTCAACTCTTCGCAACACAGGCACCCCCTCAAAGATGAAGTATGCAGGATTGTTGTAGCTGTTTGGCGCTGCCATATATGAGGATGATGGTGCTCTACAGTGGGAACATGAAGTGTAAATCAAGGTGATGTCCAATGGAAAAAGGTAGCAGAACATGATCATCTGAACAAGTATGTTAATAAAACTACTTTACCATAGATGAAGTGAACACTATTTATTAACCTAGGTCTATTTTTTGACTCACTGGGCTGGGAATGCACAGGAAGACAGGCGAGACAAATGATCGTTTGTCATTTCCTTCCCATCCTTCTCCATGCAGAGCCACTCTGTAATGTGCAGAAGACATGTCTCATGTCTAAATGTTTAAATATTGTAGTCATCTGTGACAAAGCCACTGGGTGTTCAACGAGCTGTACGTTAAGTTTCATATTTCAGTTAAAGTCTCAGAATGCATCTGGACAAGATCAGGCAGCACGGCAGCAAAAGAGGAAGACATGGTAGAAAGAAAAGTGAAAACAGAGCCAAAGCAGAGGAGGAACTAAATATTTGAGGAAATGATAGACACACCATAGACCCTTTCCCGGATTCTTCGGCGGTCTGGTGGTACATAAACCCTGATTTGTCCTCGAATAGAACCCATCTCTTCTCCTCTGTGAGTCAAGCATGTCTCAAATGGATCCGATGATTTCCCTGTTACCGAGCGAAGAGCCACACAGCATTCGCCTGAAATAGCATAACTCCATTACATATACAATCAATATGACCATAATTTTTCAACAGTGCCCTTCACTAGAAATGTAGATGTGTATGTTCCTGGTTATGATGTTATGGTTTCTAAAAACCAAACCACTGTTTCAGAGAAAATTGAGCTTGACCATGTACCGTATGACTCAAAGCCATCACATGACTTCACAGACAACAACAAGTGCTGATCCCGGAGATGCTCTAAATCTGAGAACACTGGGTGGAGCTGAAAAAAGGGGGGACAAAAGAGAAATTTGATTTGGTGTACAAACCAAAAGTGTCAAATCCTTATTAAAAATAGCATAGCTCCAAATGATCACATTGAGCCAAATGGCCTCTATCACAACCTTGGGGAACTGTTTTGAAGACCAGCCAAGTTTGAGAAATCCTGGTACCTCACAGTACTGTGAGTCATTCTCAGCAGAACGTCGAGGCTCTACACACAAGGAGAAGCATAAAGTAAAAAAAAAAAAGAACTGTCACATTTATCCCATGACCTCCTGGCATTTCAAAAGGAAGCAGGTTGGCAATGAAACACTGCATGCTCGCTAGCCTGATTGATTATTGCACAAAAGATACCTTCAAGATAGCGGGAGTGGAACTCAATGAAAAACTTGGCCTTGCTAGCAGTTTTCACTATGGCCTCAATCGCCTCCAGCTCAATGCTGGCTCTCTCTGAACCCAATTCTACATCCACAGAGATGGAAAAAGAGGACTGTGAGATGGTTATAACACTAAGAGAAACATTAAACAAATACTCAATTCAAAAAATACTTGAATTATGATCACTGATTGTATTTATGGGGTTAGTTCACCCCAAAAAAAAAATTCTGTCACCCTCATGTTTTTCTAAACCCATAAGACTTTTGTTAATCTTCGACACACAAATGAAGAAATTTTCAATGAAATCTGAAGGATTTCTGTTTCAGTGTCCATCCATTGAAAATCCATTCTACTAAAACTTCTATGCATCAAAAAGTACATAAAAAGATTGTAAACAAATACTCAATTCAAAAAATACTTAAATTATGATCACTGATTGTATTTATGGGGTTAGTTCACCCCCAAAAAAAAATTCTGTCACCCTCATGTTGTTCTAAACCCATAAGACTTTTGTTAATCTTCGACACACAAATGAAGAAATTTTCAATGAAATCTGAAGGATTTCTGTTTCAGTGTCCATCCATTGAAAATCCATTCTACTAAAACTTCTATGCATCAAAAAGTACATAAAAAGATTGTAAAAGAAATCCATGTAAATCAAGCCGTTTTATTATCAAAGTCTTCTGAACAGATATAATTGTATTGAAAAGTTATGACTTTATGTATGTGCTCTGATCAGTATTTCTATGTGAATAAAGCACATCAAATGCAAATGGAAGTTCAAATGTGCTTGCTTGACGTTTGAGAGCCAATGAGGTTTGTCCTCGCATATCAAGTTTGAACTTATGCAACAACCAATGCGGTTTTTTTTTTTTAGCTTTCAGATTTCATTAAAAATATTTTTTAATTTAAGTTTCTAAGATGAACAAATGTATTTTGAGCTTGGAACAACATTAGGGTGAGTAAATGACGACAGAATTTAAATTTTTGGGTGCACTAACCCTTTAACCCTCTACCGCACGCATTATGATAGACCTATAGAAAAAAATATTTGA